AAGCAGGGCTGTGCTGGTTTCTATGTGCTTCAAATAAATCAGATTGAATAAATCATCTGCCGCTGCTGTGCAGAACCACAGCCACGGGTGTATTTTTTCTTTGTGGAGGATCAGTGTCATTGGTCCCTATTCTTATGTCCCTGATGGAGCTGAGGAGCTGCCTGTAACTCATTTTTTCCCCCTCCTGGCGGCCAGGCTGTCCAGGGAACAGGACTGGCGTTCATCGTCTATTCCGAAGCCATCAAAAACATGGAGGTGCCACAGCTGTACTCCGTGCTCTACTTCTTCATGCTGCTGATGCTGGGCATCGGCAGCATGCTGGGGAACACCGCCGCCATCCTCACGCCGCTGACCGACAGCAGGTTCCTCGCCGCCCGCTTCCCCAAGGAGGTGATCTCGGGTAAGTGCCCGCCGCGGGCAGCGCTGGCCACGTGTGTGCAAACGCCCCGGTGTCCCACAGCCAGCGAGGGTCCCTTGGAAATCAGTTGTCCCACCTTAAACCCTGTTTTAGCTGGGTGCAGCAGCAACAGCAGATGCTGTGCGCACACACGTGTGACAGGGCTACGGCCAAGGCTGGGCGGTCCTGGCTCTGCTGGGATGCTGTGCTGTGACTGCGCAGCCGTTCAAGGCTACACCAGCCCAGTCACACACAATTCCCCCTATTCCAAAGGGAAGAAATTCTCTTTCTTGTCTGAGAAAGCTGCTGCCCAGCAGAGATCAGTAGAAATCCCACCAGTTTTTGAGTCATGCAAAGTACAACATTCGTCCCACGCGATCAGATTTCTGGGTGTAATGGGAGGTCCCCATTTTATCCACGCAGGTGCTGTGTGCTTCGTTAACTGTGTGATTGGCCTCATCTTCACCATCGAGGCTGGAAGTTACTGGTTTGACATCTTCAACGACTACGCAGCCACCCTCTCGCTGCTGCTCATTGTGCTGGTGGAAACCATCGCCGTGTGCTACATCTACGGGATCAGAAGGTAAAGGCTCGATCCCTCCTTTCTTCACAGCAGCATAAAATAAATAAAATACCACCTCAGGCTGAATTTTTCTCCTACATGATGACATCAGGATGGCAAAGGGGTCTCCCCTGCTCTGCAGACCCCTCCCAGGGCGCCAGCCAGAATGATCCTCCCCTGTCCCATCTCACATGTTTAATGCTGTAGGTGGTTTTGAAGGAACTCGCATCGAGGTATTGATTGAACATATGCAGCTCTTCTCAAACCTGTTGTTTTTTTTTTTTGTGTTGTTTTTTTTTTTTTTTTCTAAACACAGATTTGAGAAAGATCTTCACACCATGATTGGACACAAGCTGAACTGGTATTGGAAAATTATGTGGGCTGTTGTGAGCCCTTTGCTGATTGTAAGCCTATTTATATTCTACCTCACTGACTACATCCTCACAGGAACACTGCAGTACCAAGCATGGGATGCCACACAGGTAAGATCATTCTGCTTTGGGGTTTTAATTATTTTTTTAATTACTATTATTATTATTATTTTTTTAAAACTTTCCTTAATTCCTGCAGGGGCACAGCCTTCCTTCCTAATGCCATTGTTCCACAAAGCTGCCTCTGAAAGCTTGCAGCTGAAGCTGGGGCAGGCAAAGACTTAATTTTGTGGAAAGGGAAATCTTGATCTAGTGACAACAATGCCATGGGTCTGTAAAACGGGAGTGAGTGATTTCCCACTACCATTCTTTATTCATCCTTTGAAACAGTAAAACTTTATTCATGTTAATTGAAGACCTACACATCATCCTAAAAACCACTATTTGAACAGACAAATTACTTTCAAAGTGTGGTATTTTGAACAAAATTAGTGGTATTTTAACAGCATGGGAGCTGCTCCTGGAATGAATAGTTCACACAAAAAAATGTATTTGAAATTTTGCAGCCATGAGAACTGATGTAATATTTCTGAACACCTTCCTCCCTGTGCACCGTTTCTGACACTGTCAGCAAAGAGCAGCACTTGAATCGCTTGTTTATCTCCATGCCAGCTGTCTGCACATCTTTAACCTGGGGCAAGAGAAGGCACCTGGAGCCACTGAATACAGGGGGCATGATGTGCACAGCGGGGGGAACTGATGGAGAAACGGTCACCACCTTGCAGATGAATACATGTGTACAAGAGGAGGGGGAAGACAAACCATACAATCCCTGTCCTTGCTTTTTGCCTGGAAAAACAATGACTGCCTCCCCTGATAAGCAGATCTTGGGAGTATTGTAGCAACTCTATCATTTTTCCAGGAAAACGGAAAAAAAATACAATCCCTGTCCTTGCTTTTTGCCTGGAAAAACAATGACTGCCTCCCCTGATAAGCAGATCTTGGAGTATTGTAGCAACTCTATCACTTCTCCAGGAAAAGGGAAAAAAAGGGGAAAGGGAGCAGCCTGCTTGCCCGTCGTGCCTAGTATGTCTCTTTTCCAGTTGGGGGGCTGTTTAGGGGCAATAATGTTTATTGGCTTTAAACCAGAAAGCTTTGCCACTTCATTCCCCTATACATTTTTCTTCATGGCCAAAGCCCTTTTGTCCGAATGCTGACCTGTGTATTTATCACAGAGGAATTACTGCTGGGTAAGTAATCCTTGCTTTCATAACCTTTTGTGGAAACGTTCCTAGTGTGCAGGAGCAAATTACCCCTGTTGTTTTCTTGTCTTCACCAATCTGGGACTTGCAGTGGGCCAGCATGAGCCCACAGGCTCCAGGAGAGGAAGAGAGACCTGACAGAGGTCAGGGCCCCGCCAGCTCATTAAGAAACATGAATCAAGCCAAAAATCTGCTCTTTACCAACGCTTGCACAAGTCTTCCCCAATATTTTTGTCACCAGCTCTGTTCCCGAACAGTTGGACACAGCAAAGCACTTGCGATGGCCATGGGCTGCAGCCCCCAAGTGCTTCTCAGATGGCACTGGGACACCAAAACCCACCGATCCCCCCAGACCCAACGCTGTTTCTCTCCCTTGCAGGGGCAGCTGGTGACCAAGGATTACCCGAGCCAGGCGCTGGCAGTGATCGGGTTGCTGGTGGTGGCATCCACCATGTGCATACCCCTGGGGGCACTACTAACTTTTATGCAGAAGAGACTGAAGAGGGAAAACGTTTCGACCGTTGCATGAGTGGTAACAGTGGGATTTGGGAAGACCTCACCCCCCTCGTCAGTGACCGGGTGCTTCTGGAAGACAGCAGCAACCATTACTTGTAGTGGCTATTTATAGAGTTGAGAATCGTGGGTGCTATTCTGACCAAAAAGTGCTCTTAGCAGGTTCCACAATAGTTTTGAAAAAAAAAGAAAAAAAGAGCCCTTCTGTAACAAGATGAAGCTTTAAAATGGCCTCTGTAAGAGGGGAAAAGAAACAGAGGAGCAGCCCACAAATTAACCAGCAGGTAATTCTTTTCCACTCTGTTGTAGCACTGCCTGTGTGGAAACATGACCAACCAGCTCAGCATGTTCCTGCACCAAAGTACCAGCAGATACCCTTACCCTTCAAGAAAGCCATGCTCAAGCATGCACATTATTTGAAATCACATCTGTATTTCATTAGCAGGTGAAACTGTTGAAGTCTTGTAATGTGAACGCAATGATCTTTCCTACTGAGAAGTCAGCAGGATGGTATTTCAGATGTGACAAAATTCTGCTTTTATATTTGTGTCCAGTAAAGCAGTTATATATACATATATGTATGAGCTGCAGAAGTTTTCTCACCTCCAGAAGTAAACTTCCTCTTGGAGTCCGTAATCATGCACCGTGCTGTACTTTGTATTCGCTAGGGATGCACTTTAAGCACACTAGAACTCTGTGATAAAGCTGCTTTACAAGCCCCGCCCCCCTTGAACAAAAGTAAGCCATAGAATCAGCTCTGACAAAGTTCATATCCAGGTACACTTTAATCAGCAGATGTAAGGATCCAGCAGTTGGACAGAACTGGTTCATTTCCCTATGTGAACTTGTATAAAGAAAGCAACATGTTCAAACTGTAAGCTTCCTGTAACAGAACACAGTAAAACCATATCTATGAACTTTAAAGAGGCCACGTTGCAGAACAACCTCAGAGACAAACTCATGGGACGCGGGTTCTTAGTGTCTCACCTCTGTAACCATTAGAGGATGGCAAGTGCCTTATAAAAGAGGGATTAGTTTCAGACAAACCTTGTTAAAGCACACCAACACAAGTCTCTCGGGCCGGGGCAAAAAGCAGGAGGGAATTGTACAGCCTTTAGGGGTGGGAGAAACCTTCACAATGCCAACCAACACAACACGCTTAGTGTGCAACAGCTGCTAGAAACAGGAGATGCCTGACTCCACTAACAAAGGAAAGACAGCTTTTTCACATTTCAGTTTATTAAAAATGGATACCATAAACAAGACCTGTACAAAAAAATATCCAAAATTGCCCAGAATTTCGTAGCAGTTACATGGTGAGAAGTTATCGTCTTGGGCCCCCTCTTCCTCTTCCACGACCTCGGCCTCTCCCACGGCCTCTGCCACGGCCTCTTCCAGCAACTTAAAAGATGAAACAAAAAGGGTAAAAAAAAAAATCAAGTGAGACCCAGGCATACTTTCATTTTGATTAAAACTTTCTGTATCAAGCATAAGCAACATAATGTCTCATTGCAGGGAAGCAGTAAGTCATATACCAAGTCTGTTAATGCTCAGTAAGTTTCAGACAATATTTGGACTTTTTGTGTTGGATTTTTCAGTATACAATTGCCATAGGCTACCCTCTGTCTTTGGCTTCACTGCAGAAAACAGGGAGATACAGCATCACAGCTGGCTGCTTCCAAATGCTCTGACAGAGAACTATGATTCATCTTGGGCTTTTTTGATAAAAATATAGTTTTTCAGGCAACAGAAAAAGCATGTACAAAACAAGAGGATTTTGTTACTATTCATTACAGTAGAAAAGATTGGGTTTTTTTTGCCAAGGCTCGTGTTGTGGTTTATAAAGTGCTCTGCTAAAGGGAAAACACAAGTTTTAACTCAGCCTTTCTCAGGCACCATGTGAAAGGGCAGCATTTTGAAAGGATCCCACCACCCAGCAGCTCCTACTGTTTTCAGTGATGCGTCTCAGGCCAACGCCTTGGCTGTGTGCTCCTACTTTTAAATACCACTATTTAATAGTAAAGGGAAAACAGAGTCACAGAGCTATTCAGGCTGCAAGCAACTGCTAGAGGCCGTATGATCCATATGGTGATAACACAATATTTTACCCCTAAAGAAACATGACCTGTCTCATCGGGTTGCAAGGCCACTCCAATTTCTCCATGTGGTCAGATTATTTTTAATGGACAGGAGAGAAGCGGAACGCTTTCAGGAGCTTTATCCTCATTCTCTGTAAGGACAGCAGCCCTAACACTTGCGCTTTGTGCTACACAGACCTGAGCGTTCCTTGTACCACCTCAGCAAGGTAAGCACACCAGTCCAGAACATACCCATGGATCAAAGACCACACAGTCAAACATTCAAACACCAACTACAGGAGAAATGGTACTACATTATTTTAGAGCACAATTAGCTTTCACTTGAAACACTATTTTGAAAACACACAGATCAACTGTTGGGCAAAATATATATCGTCTGAAGACAACCTACAGATTTTCTGGGGTCTACTGGATATTAATGTTTAAGAGTGGGGATTAAAACTGAATAACTCTCTATACTGTTAGGTTTCTAAGGAAAAGGTTTTTGTTCAACAGCCTTTTGAAAAAACACTCCAGGAAGAGCGCAGAGCGGAACACAACTGGGAGCCAAAGCCAGTGAGCTGCTCATCCGAATACTGCCTAGACTCCCTCAGATTCTCAAATCTCTCAGATTCAGTTCTCTGATAGATTATTTTTATCCACAATCAAGTGAGATTTCAGTGAAGCATTCAGCACTGTTCAAGAGGCTGTTTTGTACTTTCTCATTAGGCTATGTGAAGTTCCCCATACAAACTGGGGAAACACAGCAGACATTTGAAGAGGAGGAAATGTAAATCTCTTTGGTGTCAACACTGAGACTGGGATAGGTTAAAACTTCCTCAAGCTCAAAAAATTTACATTTTTAAAAAGCAGATGTATGAAAAGCCATACACATAATTTCACACGAAAGAAAACCCTACAGATGCTAAAGGTGGGCAAGAGAGACTTAGCCAGTTCAGTATCAAACCCTCAAAGACGAAAGAACTAGCTGCCCAACACAGATATTGAGACACTCAAATCAGTTGCCTCCAGATTCCGAGTACTAAAACGCACAAAAAGACAGGACAAACACAGGCTGGGAAAGCACAGACTAACCTGCTTCTCTTTTCTTGGATTTGACTTTGGGTTCAACGTCCACTAGCAAAGTATCCAGAGGCAAACTGTCCGGCAGAATGAAGTATCGGATGTTGTTCCCTCGAATACTGAGTGTTTCCAGCTGTACAGGTTCTCTGTTCTTCAGCGTCATTTTCACAGCTTTGAGATGCGTGTTCATGCTGACATCCACTCCTGAAACAACACAAGACTAATTTCAGGGGTGAACGCCTACAAAATGGTCCCTTGTTGGCTTTTTTTAAGTATGCACATGCTTCGAGATTTATCCTGTTCATTAACACCTGCTTCTGCTATTCACTAATTAAGCCTCTAACTGAAGGAAACTACATGTCTTCTTCTTAAATGATGCTTGCTAGTTTATCAATTGCTGCCTTCAACACCTCACTGCTAGAGATTGTTATCTGCATCTTTGGGACAGCTGTAGCAATTCTGTAAATGGTTAAAACAAGTAACTTGAATAACAAATTAACTGCTGATTATTACAGAAGTCTAATGCTAGTCAAGGCAAAACAAACCTTTGAGGAGGAAAAATAACCTTATCATTTCCTCTTTCTCTGTCTTAGAAAAAGTCCATCGGCCAAAGGAGCATTTATTTTCCAACAAAATACATCTAATACTAGTGCAACCCCTTCTGTGAAAGTACGTAGAATACACTAGTACAAGGAACAATCACTGCGGTTCCAAACTCTGTGAACAGCCAGTACCATGCCCCCCACACAGCGCTAAGCACAGTCCAAAACCAGAAAGTGTCTCAGTTGAATGAATGTATTGAATAACAGCCCCAAAAAGCATTAAGAAGCACCAGATATTAATTTTATTTTGCGTATCACAAGTCTTGCATGGGATTTGGTCTCAAACTATGACAATCAAAATGAGAGTAACTTTTTCAGACCAAAAATTTAGGCAAAAGATGGAAGCTGTCATTTACAAACACCTGCTGATTCCGTGACAGGGCACCCACACAAGCAAAATGTTTAGTGTGTTCAAACTTCTATACTAACAACCCTTTGTAGTAAAAACAATTATTGTCTTGTTTCACAAACACAGAAAGACAAACTGTAACATGTTTTACTGAAGCAAATAACATAAGTGAGTAGCAGGCCAGAATGATGAGAACTGCTGTGCTGTGCTTATGCCAGAGATTTTTCTACCTTCTCCCCTTAATTCTAGATTTTATCCAGCTCTCCAACACCTGCATTCCTCCTAACCCACCTCCTTCGTTTGTATAACATATGCACTACACGAAACCCGCCCCTTCAGCACGCCTGCTCTGGCCAACTGCCACAACAGGGGGAAATCGTACAGTTTACAGCTGGCACAGCAATTACAAACGCGGTACCGCGTTCGCAGCAGTATAAAGGGAAGATTTGTCATTTTAGAAATACAGATCTCATTCAAAAGTTTTTACAGATTCTTAGCAGAAAATGGGAGAGACTTTGCTCATGAATTAAGCCTGCGAGAGCACTGAGGTCAGGAGAGAAGCAGTTTGTTTGCTTCCTACCTACCTGAGTTCAACACTGCAATCAGATACCAGGGCTGTGCACTCAGGACTAATCAAAGCTGATGGATCCCACTGCAAAATAACGCCAGTTTTTAACTGCCAGACCTCAGCGGATTGCTGCTGGCCAAAAAAGCACCTCAGCAATCCCCTGGAATACAACTCTGCCAAGCTTGATTTTTTTTTTTTTTTTAACAGTATCTGGGCAGAAGAGCTTCTAAAATAAGTCTGGGGTGAGTGAAGGGAAGGAGATCAAGCACATTCATCAACTTAACTGTAAGGGTTTGCTTCAACAAATATGATGTGCCCCACCTACACACACACACCTGATCGTCTCTGAAGTAATGCCAACACGAATGTTCACAGAACAATATCCCTCACTAATATTATTAAAGCAAACAAAATAGTCTGCACGCTTTTCAATACCTATGGGAACCATACAACAAACAGCCAAGGCTTGTCCTGCAACCATCAGTTCAGTGATACACAGAATCACCTACAAGACAATAACACCCACAAACTTATATGATATGACAGACCTTTGGCAGCAGCAAGGGATCAGACTCTTGACACCTGCTTGCCCCGTATCTCCTCACCAAGCTATCTGTTTTCACATCAGTTTCATGAAATCAGTGCAAGTACATGCAAAGATGCATTTCCACCTAAGTCCACCTTAACCAAGGCTAAAACATGCTCAACAGAAGTAATTAATTTCTAATTAAAATTGCCTACACACAAAGTTTAACAGATTTAAGACCATATCAATACTTAACATTTGCCATTTATCTGTACTACCACTAAAAAAAGTCCCCCTCTTCTGGCGATTCAGCTGTAAGGTTTTTATGTGACCATGCCTTATTACAATTTCACAAATAAGAGTCAGATGTACTGAAAGACGTTATAAAAACCTAGCTGCGTATCCACTCCACCTCAATATGGTAGTAAAACTACCTCACCATCATTAACACGCTGATAAAATTCTAAGAGAATACTATGCTTACACCAGCTTTGCCACTGGTTTGGAGAAGTTTACTTCCTTCACCCCCAAGTCTGTCAGCAAAGCCTGCAGTCTGGCTCAGAGGCTTCACGGACTACAACCAGTTTATTCCCTCACAGCAACTTCTACAAATGTCCAGGCTCTTCTACAACAAACACATCTTCACCTTGCATATAATGATACAAATTAAAAAGAACACCTCCTGTATCTTACAGAGAAGGTCTCTACAAGAGTGGGTACAAAATGAAAAAGCTCAGCCCAAACCACAGCTGCCAGTTGTTATCAAAAAGGTAACAGGCAATGCTTTGCCATCGTCTCCCCTCCGGCCATACCTGTGATAGTTCCATGCACCTGTGTGCCATTCTTCAGTTCAATCGTCACTGTCTCATGGCTCAACTTCATTAGAAACCTATCAGTTAAAAAAAAATAAATATATCGTTCACTCTCAGCCTTACATGTTTAATATCCCATTACTGAAAATCAGGATCAGCCAAGCATTCACGCATCTCGAGCTCCCAAAGACAGCATTCCCAGGGTCCAAGAATTCTGCTGGAGACGTTCAGTAACGCACGACCCAAGAGCCAGCCAGAGAACCCGAGCAAGCCCCACGGCCCACCCAACCGCGGGGCGCCGGGGCACTTGACAGCCGCACCGCTGAACCCTGCAACCTCCTTCCAGGCCAAACGGCCGTTACTCTATAAAGGAGGAAACATTTTAAAACTTGTTAATACTCCAGGAAGCCAAGTCTAGCCAATCCGGGACTTTTTTTTCCCCCCGAAAGGGCAGTTTTACACAACAACCTGCGCAGGCCCCGCTCCAGGAGCCCGCC